AGCTATCAAAAAACTAAGCATAAAAATAAGATAAACAAAAATAGCAAAAAAATAATATTTTCCATAAGTATTCTATTTAAAATTAAGAAGAGCTTCACCACACCAATATTTATAAAGTTCAGGAAATTGATATCTAGAAAAAATACTATGTTTAGGAAAAATTAATTCTTCCTAAAAATTATATATAGCAGGATAAGAACTAAATTTTGGAAATAGAAAAATTAAAATTACTGCTTGAAAATTTTTATAAAATATTTTTTCTATTTTTTTTGATATATTTTTTATATAAGTAGAAATTTTTATTTTTGAGTCTAATAAAATAAAAGGTTGCTTAATTTTTTCAGTAATATTACTAATAAAATAAGGTTGTAAATATTTTATATAATTTTGAAGATGTGGTTCTGAGAAAAATTTGTTAAACTTAATTTTTTCATAGTTATTAGGTGAGTGAATAAATAAAGTATAAGATAAACATTTTTTTAATAATTGAGGATATTGAGTTAATTCTTTAAATGAAAAGGTTAAAATATCTAATAATTGAATCTTCTCTAAAAAATTATCCTTTTCTGTTTCTTTGCATATTTTATTACATAATTTTTTTGCCAATGATAGAATTGATATTTTAAAAAACTATTTAAAAAATCTTCTCCACATAATTTTATTAAGTTGGTTTCATTGCATATTTTATTACATAATCTTTCTGCCAATGAGTAAAGTTGAAACTTCAAGCAAAATTCTAACAGTTCATGTCTATATAATTTTATTAATATATTATCTTCTATATACTCATCTAATAAGTTATCTAGCAATTCTTTAAGAAGTAATTGATCATCACTTGTATATGATTGTTTATACTTATAAAGAAATTCAAAATCTGGAGCTGGCAATAAACTTTTTTGATTTTTTTGTATTTTATTTAATAAATTTTTAAAATCTGAATTTTTTACTTCAAGATAAGTGTTGTGATCCCCATAAGACATATAATACAATACTTGAATTTTTCTAATTTTTTCATCTTTTTGCCAAGTTGACCATATAAATAAGCCAAATGATGTAATCACTGCTAAATCTTCATTATGCAACAAATCAAAACTAATAATAAATATATATATATGTTCTTTTATATCAGAATAAGTAGAAGAAGGGATCCAAAAATTTTCTAATGTTATACTATGCTAGTTTAGTTTATTTCTATTTAATCATTTTATTTTAGTTATTTGTTTAGTTATTTGGTTGTTTTTGTGACATT